TCACAAACTTTGTTATATTGATCGATAACAACTAAGATTTACATTTAACTATATACCTATCTAGATAATTATGAACCAACGGAAAGACAATAAAGCTTCTCCTTGTATGTTGATCAATCTTCTACAGATATCTGTCAAAAATATAACCTCAAAATTAAAAATATTTTTGTATTATTTACGATTCTCTGAAGTATACGTTAGTTAGAACATTAAAAATATTTTTTCCTAACTAACGGCCTTTGGGCGAACAATGTATGGGCGAGGAACAATGTCCTTTACATATAACTATATCCCGACGTAAATCTTGTGTGGATAGACAATAAGGTCATCGAGCATGTACCTACATTTCACAATTTTATAATACTGATCGCCTACAACTACAATTTACATTTTAGTATTTCCCGAAGTTAATCTTGTGTGGATAGATAACGAGGTCATTAAATATATACCTCTACTTCACCGATTTTGAAACAATATAAATTAAACTATATCACGACGTAAATCATTTGTGGATAGACAAAGAGATCATCGAGTATATACCTACTTCGTCAAGATTGTTGTACTGAGAAACTACAATTTATCTCAACATATATCGTGTAGCAAAGAAAAAGATGGACAGATAGATTATTTATTGCATCGTGTGGTAACAAAGATCTTTACCCTAAACTTTGTAACCTAAACAGGAACCTCGTAGAGGTATTTCACTTATACACTATTTCAAATTTAAATTGGTACATACATTTACACAAAAATTATGTCTTTATAATATAATATTTGGCTATATGACAAACTTGCATAATTATAATAAATTTATGTCTATCCGAGTGGATAGTATTAGATAAAGGAAAATAGTTAGTATGAATATTTAAATTCACATTCACATTTGGTATGATCGCCTAAACGTCTAAAAAAATTAATAATTTTTTTGACAATACAGGTACGATGAACTTTTTAAAAGTGCTTTTAATTAGTAGTCAAGCATGTGAAAATATAAGAAACTCGAGTATCGTGAAACGATATCCAACTACCCGCAGAAAACTGCACCTATGTGTAAGTACAAAAATAAAATAGCGAGTTGCGTAATAGCTTTTGGCAATTAATATTCTTAAGAAATATAATTAAAACATTAGTGATAACTGTCGCTTAATCTGCTAAACCCACTATAGGGAAATTGCCATTATTAAACTAAAAGAAACATAAGAAAAATACAAATATCCATGTATAAAGCCTGTATAAGAGATAAAATCTACTTCGAGTCGCCGGAGATATATCCAACTACGTGGATCTACACTCTAAACACCAGGGGGGCGTCGCATGCTGCGGTTGCCTAAAGCTGGGAATTCACTATTTCCTGCAATCCCCAGTGATACCACTGCGGCCGTCGCGGTCACGTGGCGTAGAACCGCGTGACTGGGTACCCATTAGCATTATATGTATTGTCATTAAATATATCTATAAATATATAAAATCACTTCCGTTGATTTTGAATTTTGTAATGACAAAATATTGTTTGCTGCAATGCTGATTGAGCTCATTTTATAGTAATTTTAACATCCAAATTTCATTCAAAATCATTCAGCAATGTCTATATTGTTTATATAAAATACTTTTTAAAAATAAAAGTGTACATTTTCGTCTAGAAACTCAAAAATACAGTACTACATAGATCCAAGCAGTTATGGCTGTTCTGTTGTATCTGTTTGAATGAAACTAAAACGTCGTAGGTACCTACCTATTTTTTTCTAAACAATTTTCTTCATGATAATGATGATGCCAGTATATTATTGTGAATGCGTGATTGACTGAAATACAATAATGCCATGGTCTCAGGTAATTAAAGAAAGGGAATTGTTCAATTTTGGCTTTTGGTGGACAAGCTAATTAGTAAAAACTATGTAAACAGTAAAATATTATTAAAACTGAAAAAAATATTTTTTATACTCTCGTCATGTGAAACTAAACATTAAAAATATTATTTTAAAAAGTATTTTTTGGATTCGGATGTGTTTTGTTAACATGTTTCACTGTGTTTCCATATCAATAAATGTTATTGAATTAATATTACTAATAGTATCGATTAATCGATAAGGTTTAACTTTAATAGAAATGAAAGAAATTAAAGTATATATATATTAATGCATATACAGTAGGTGATCTTTTGTAAAATCATGTATCATATATATTAAAAACATAACAAATAATCCTTTTCGGTTAGATATAAGTTAATTTACACTAACAATCGATTACTTTCTAATCGATTAATGATTTTTATATGGCAGCACCATTTCACTTTGTCAACAAATAATATGTTTGAGTGATAATTCTTATTCAAATGATTGTTTATATAAAATAATTCCTTAAATAACGTATTAATATCGTTTAACGTGTTGTTTTTGGTAAATCCATGTAGAAAGATAGAATTGGTAATTCAAAATTGTTTGGTTTGATTAATGTATTTAAATCGAGTAATGGTCTCCTACGTGAATATCGTCGGCAGCTTTATATAAATTGTGAAAGATCTATATTACGTACTAGATCACATCTACTGCAAACAATATCCGACAGAGAAACACACATTAGAAATGAAATTATTTATTTGATATCCCCACGACAGGTAGAATTATAGTTATTTTTATTTATTATGATTACTATAATTAAACTTCTTTTATGACATGTAAAACATTAATATATCGCTACCATATCGTTAAAATAATATTTTGTTGACAAATAATTTAATTATATATTATACTCTTTTGGGTGCAAGGATCTGATCGCATCTGTCACCCATGTCGGCAGGGAGCAGATAGAGAGAGTTCCTTCTAATATTCCAGAACCTATACAGAACATTACCTTACCGGATTTTAAAAGAGCATCTGATTCACAAGCATTATGTTTTGTTCCGGGTTGAGACTCACCACAGCAACTAATAGTTCCCAGATGGCTTCAGGTAAAATTGTTTGTTGATTTTAACTTTTATGTACCAAAAACCAGTAGACTGTGTAATTCTCATTTATATTATAATAATTGGGCTGAATGGTTGTCTATCATGCAAACTATTCATACATTTACTACAGAACTTATACAAGATTTTGCATCATTTGTAAAAAAGAAATCTTACAATGGATTTTAACAATATTGAAGGAATGACTGAAGACATTGTGCACTTTTGAAGGTCTGTCTAAACAGGAGTTCCTTCAGTTAAAATTAAATTGATTTATAAAATTCTTTTGCTTTGGGAAGCTACATCTTTCATCAGAATGATATACTATTAATACTGCTACTATTAACTAGTTGTTCAATATTTAATGTTAATTTATTATTAATTAGTTATGTGCAAATGTACTGAATAGGTGTTTTAAAATAGTCATTTCTGTTAATAGGCGCAGACATAAATGTGAGTCTACAGCCACTCCAAGCTGAAGAGTTGTGCTCGAGGGTGAGCACAAATCAGGAGAATAGTCTTGTTTGAGGGAGAGCACATGTCAGGAGAGGCCGTGGAAGATTCAAAGATTAGTACGTCAGGTGACCAACTTATATAAATGTAGCTGCTTTTTTGACTGCCCAAATGCCAGCCTCCAGCTGAAGAGAAACCATATGAGCAGTGTAATATATTTATTAAGTGATTATGTAAAGTATATTCTTATAAATATGTGTATTTAGAAGTACTGTCTTTTGCTTGTAGAATTGTATTGTCAAATTAAAGGTAAATATGTGTAAATCTACAATTTCTTTATTTAGACATCTCTGTTTCTTATTTCTAACATAAATAAATTAATATGATGATAAGGTAACTAAAGTATTTTACAAAAAAAATAACTTTTTCATTACATTGTTAATGGAATACTACATATGCTTATATATATACAATTTTAAACTTTCCCGTGAAAATATTACAACAGTTAACTTCCTTAAGATATGAAATATTAAAAAATAATGTTTTTTATAACTGTAGATAATGTCCACTCAAAGCCAAAGTGCCCATACAAACTGAACAATTCCCTTTAATTATGTCATTGATTATTACTAAATTAGTTCTGTTTTTTATAATTTACTGAATAAAAATAAAATGTATAAAAAGAGAACAAGTAAATTTTCTCTACTGTGTGCAAATACTAATACTATGCTTCCATTATTAAGTCATACTACCTATTATTAAGTTTAATTAATTATTTTCCTAATAATGCGATATCTTCAAAACACTTTACACTTAAAATTATTACTTTCATGAGCTCACAGATTACAAACTTTGAGTCTCATTATAACTCCTAAACCTTTTTCAGCAAAACACTAAGCAATTGTAAATAATTAAGCACAGTGTGTTAATCATATAAAGATATAACAAATTAGTATTTCATGAAATATCACCAATCACATAACTATTAATTTCTCGAGACATTTATCTGGCTAGAACTTAGATAAAAGCAGTATAGATACAAGCACTATTCAAGTGTAATCAGTGCTCATAGTAATAGACATGCATCGTGATTTGCTATACGGCTTCATTATAAGGTACCTTTGATAGAGTTAAGTCGCTCTGGCGGTATCAAAAATGATCTGATCAAGTTACTTACGCGGTCCTTCCCTCCGGACCGCGAAAGCGTTAAGACGTGTAACCCGTACAGCTAATTATAATATTATTAAATAAAATTAAATCGGAAAAATAAAAACAGCAAGTACCAGGAGATCATAGTGTGAAAACGTTAATCGCAATTCACAAAGAGACAAGATACACATAAATTTAATACCAATTGGATGAGTCAAAAAACAAAAGGACTAGGCAACCATATCGAGCGAGGAGGCGACGCGTGTTTGAGGGAAAGAAACGACGTGAGTAGATCAATATATTTCAATAAGCTCCATTGCTGCGCGTGCACTGTTAGCCCCACCCAGTGATCTACGTCACTCAAATCGCTTGCCACAATTCATAAGCGACAGCGTTCGCGATTCACCTACTAGGGGGTGGCCCAAGTTCTTATACGTAGTTCCACTCTTTCTACAAGATGCCCAACCTAGCACATTCTCCAAAACTAAACAAATCTCATAGTATGTCGGACACTGACATCGATAAGTTAACCAATCAGGATTCATCATTAGTTGAAGTTCTACACGTAACTCAACGAGACAACAAGCGCCGACGTATTAATGAAAGACAAATCAGTCCCGAATGCTCTGATTTTCGGACAATTATACGTGAGGAACTACGTGAGATGTTAAATACGTTACAACATCAACAGAATTCGCGATTAGATATCCTAGAAAAATATATCACTGAGATCAAAGCCCAAAATGAATCAACCCTACAGAAGAATTTAGACATCGAGAAATCAATCGAGTTTGTCACAGACAAAGTAAACAATCTTCAGCTCTCCATCAATGCTCTTGAAGACGAAAGAAAAGGTTTGACATCCCAGATATCAAAAATTGATGATAAGTGTGACATGCTCGAAAGGTTATCTCGAAAAACAAGTATTCAAATTAGAAATGTCCCCAACCAAAAAGCCGAAACGAAGGAGGCACTTTTTGGGATGATCTCAAGGCTGGCAAATTCACTGGATATTAAGTTACAGGTTACCGATTTGCGAGATATTCACCGTATGCCAATGAAACCAGGACAGGCTTCTTCAACTGTTGTAGCAGAATTTTCCTCAACATTACACAAATCCAAGTTTATCATTGCAGCTAAAAGCCACAAAGTCACAGCCATTAAGTACAAAACAGAGCAATTAAATTCAGCACACCTGGGAATAGAAGGACCGAAAAGTGAAATCTATATATCAGAACACCTAACTGCTCAATCTTCTCGACTATTTTTCCTTGCCCGTGAATTACGAAAATCTATGGGATATGACTACTGCTGGACAGCAAACGGACTTGTGTATTTAAGGAAAAAACATGGTGAACCATATATTTTGGTTAAAAATGAATCGCAGCTTCAATCTCTGAGAAAGAAATGACTAGATGTATACACAACAAATGTCACAATCTTTTACAGTCATATTATTAAATTACTGAAATCCACTGAAAATGTTAAATTACTATACCATTCACTTAAATATTTTCTAATAAACATCACGAAACACAAACACAATAAATCACTTAAATACACTCACACAAACAAAGATACCCAACACATCCAAGTTCGGAAAATTAAAATGAGAAATCATACATATCTAGACAAGTTTTCATGGTTAAGCTCAAAAATGTACATCCTTACAATTCATCCTTTTATATATGAACATAACAGAAATAGCTGAAAATATTGACAACGTTGGTGTTTCTTTAGCTATTGCTTGTGAAGCTGAAGAAGTACTAGGCCAGATTCAGTGTCCTCACAGTAAAACAAAAATCCTCTGTCTAAATATTCGTAGTGTTAGGCAAAATTTTGATAACCTTATAACATTAACCACTCGTTTAAATATTAAATTAGATTTCATTATCCTCACGGAATGTTGGCTATCCTCCAATAGTAGTCCTCCAAAACTGAATGAATATCAATATTACTGCACTACGGATAGTTACAACCAAAATGACGGCGTTGTAGTATACGGTAAAAAGTCAATAACATATACTGTCGAAGAACCTATTTTTCCTGAAACAAACTGTCTTATAATAAAAATTTCAAAACATACCGCTATCTTAGCAATATATCGGCCTTATTGTTATAAAAGAAATCGTGATCTCTTTATTACATCTCTCAACACAATCCTAATGTCTCTAAAGGATTACCAAAATGTTCTAATTGCTGGCGATATTAATATCGACATTAAGCCCAATAATTCTGATATCTCTTCTCATGAATATCTCAACTTGTTGGCTACTCATGGAATGCTCCCTTGTCACACTATTCCAACTAGAAAGGAGTCTTGTCTTGATCATTACATTCTTAGGTCAAAAAAAGAAGCTTATACTTTTGTGATACATTATTCCATTACTGATCATGATGCAATCCTCTTATGCTTGGATAAGTATTCCCCTAAACAAGATTCTATTCGGATTACTACAACTGACCACCAATCTCTAGAAAAGGCGGTGACGGAAATTGATTTTACTCCAGTAATAAGCTGTTTAGACGTAAATGTAGCGGCTAACCTATTAGTAAATTTTCTATCACGGGCTATTGATACAAATACCAAAATCTTGCATATCCCCCATAGAGCCCGAATAAAGAAGCCTTGGATTACTGTAGGATTACTGCGTTGCATCAGGAATCGGGATAGAATGCACCAAAAACTTAAACAATCGCCTAATAATGAAATATTTTTAATAACCTACCGCAGATATAGGAACTATTGTAATAACTTACTAAAAAATCTTAAACGGGAATACGAACAAAAAGAATTTAAAAAAGCAGGCTCTAATACTAAACAAATGTGGAACGCGATAAATAAAGCTACAAATAGAACTAAGCAAAAAGATAATGCTACGGAACTGTTATCTAATGACTGCCCCAATATTGCAGTTAATAAAGTCAATAGTTTTTTTGTTAACATTGGCAAAAACCTAGCAGAGTTAATTAAGCTCAATAATAAGCAACCAGTGCCAATAAACTTGAATAATAATGCTCCTGTTTCTTCTTTTGTAATGCTTGACGCAGATGAGGAAGAGGTAAGCAATCTTATAGATTCTTTGAAACTGGATAGCGCAACAGGGTATGACGGCATTTCTTCTAAGTTCTTAAAACAACACAAAAGAATGTTAATACCATCAATAACACACATTTGCAAACTTTCACTTTTAACTGGCGTATTCCCGGATGTATTTAAGAAAGCTGTTATCAAACCAATTTTCAAAAGTGGAGATCGAACTAGTGTCAACAATTATCGCCCTATTTCAATTCTTTCAGCACTTTCAAAGATACTGGAGAGGATTATTAATAACAGATTAATCAAGTACCTTGAAACAAATAACATTCTTTCCCAACAACAATATGGTTTTCGTGCTAACAGATCAACAGAGGGAGCAGTTCATGAATTGTGTAGTTTTATAGTGAATTCCTTGGATAATTCTAAGAAGTGTCTTTCTATCTTCCTGGACTTGGCAAAAGCTTTTGACACGGTTTCAATTCCACTACTTCTTGATAAATTAAACCAAGCAGGAGTGCGAGGCCTCCAACATAAACTAATCTCTAGTTATCTAACCGGTAGATCACAATGTGTTAAAATATCAGATCATGTTAGTGAGGATGTTCCTGTGATTTATGGGGTTCCTCAGGGTAGTGTACTGGGTCCAACGCTATTTTTAGTATTCATAAACGACCTATGTAATATTAAACTAGAAAATGGCGTAATTATTTCTTTTGCAGATGACACAGCTTGTGTTTTTAAGGGTGAGTCTTGGGGACAGATTTATCAAACAGCACAACGTGGTTTAGATAAAATTGTAGTATGGCTGAAACAAAACCTGCTAACAATAAATGTAGATAAAAGCAAATTTATAACTTTTGGAATACGTAATCATGCTTCCCGTATAGTTGATTCAAATCTTAAACTAGTTATTCATAATCATATCCATAGTGTAGAAACCCTCTGTGCTTGTCCAAAACTTGAAAATGTTTCTCATATTAAATATCTTGGCGTTGTAATAGACAAAAACTTAAATTTCATTTATCATATAAATCAAATTGTAACTAGGGCTCGAAAACTTATCTACGTCTTCAGAATCCTGAGACATATTGTAAACTATGAAGTGATCAAATCTGTTTACTATGCAATATGCCAGAGTGTTTTTGGATACTGCATCATTGTTTGGGGGGGCGCCTGTAAAACCCACCTTATGAAACTTGAAGTTGCTCAGCGCACAATCCTGAAAGTAGCTACATTTAAACCCTACTATTACTAACGCAAGAACTTTTTGGGATATGTAGATTGTTAACAATACGCCAGTTGTTTATTTGTAATGTCATATTAAAACAGCATTCATTCTCAACTTATGATAGCACATTATTAACCTCTAAAAGAAGGCATGATATTGTGTTTAATACGCCGAAATTCAATACCAAATTTGGTCAAAAATTTGTGGAATATCTTGGACCTATACTTTATAATAAATGCAATAGACTATTATCCATATACCCTTTAAATAGGTATCAATGTAAAAAAGCTGTTATACTATGGCTATTGAGTTTAAGCTATAATGAAACAGAAAATTTTCTTATTAACCGAACTTAATCGTATAAATAAATTTTATCTGTTCATACATTTACATCCACATACCCCACACACATATACTCACCCTCACACACCCAGACACACACACACACACACACACACACACACACACACACACATAAGCCTGTAATATTATCTATTTCATATTTACTTTTATTATCATTTCTCTTTTATAAACAATATTAAGAAGATTAACTCCTGTACTTTTGTTATATTACTAGACATATGTTCGGTTGTGGGGGCCTGGTGTTCTGTAGAACAGGATTATCCTAGTATCGGTCACCAGTCTCCGTCCTTGAATTGAATAACAATAAAATAACAATTGTAACTGTGTAATATGTGGAGAAATAAATAAATAAATAAAAAAAAAAAAAAAATGTTTACAATTGCTTACTGATTTGCTGAAAAAGGTTTAGGAGTTATAATGAGACTCAAAGTTTGTAATCTGTGAGCTCATGAAAGTAATAATTTAAGTGTAAAGTGTTTTGAAGATATCGCATTATTAGGAAAATAATTAATTAAACTTAATAATAGGTAGTATGACTTAATAATGAAAGCATCGTATTAGTATTTGCACACAGTAGAGAAAATTTACTTGTTCTCTTTTTATATATTTTATTTTTATTCTGTAAATTTTAAAAAACAGAACTACTTTAGTAATAATCAAAGACATAATATTTTTTTTTTAATTACCTGAGACCATGGCATTATTGTATTTCAGTCAATCACGCATTCACAATACTATACTGGCATCATCATTATCATGAAGAAAATTGTTTAGAAAAAAATAGGTACCTACGACGTTTTAGATTAATTCACACAGATACAACAGCCATAACTGCTTGGATCTATGTAGTACTGTATTTTTGAGTTTGTAGACGAAAATGTACACTTTTATTCTAAAAAAGTATTTTATATAAACAATATAGACATTGCTGAATGATTTTGAATGAAATTTGGATGTTAAAATTACTATAAAATGAGCTCAATCAGCATTGCAGCAAACAATATTTTGTCATTACAAAATTAGATATCAAACTTCACAGGGTACGAGTAAGTTGGTTTGATTCTCAATTATATTATTTTCATATATGCGTTTAATAACTAGTGTAGGTGTTGTGTATCCGAACATACATATTATATGCAGAGTGTATCGGAACGTAAAATGTAATTGAAGCTCAACTTATTGTGTCACTCATGGCGCAGTAGGAAATTAAATTATTATCTATTAAATATTAATACGATTAAGAAAATATTAGTGCAAAATATTTCCGTATTGCACGAGTTATAAGAAGAAATAATAAGTTTATCAAGTAAATGCAGAACGTCCATGATTCATATTGATATTAATCAATCAGTCACTGATAGCACACAAAATGGAAGCCGGCGCAAAACCACCAACCAACCCTAGACCTAACAAGTAAAAACATAACAAATAATTGGAAATTATTGAAACTACTAATAGCAGATTATATTACCTTCAACAATAAAGATGGGAATACGGATATAATAAAGATTACGATTCTGAGAAATATAATGGGGCCTGACGCTGTTAGAGTACTAATGAATGTGCCGGGGCTTTAACGAAGAAAAAATATAAAAAGTAATAGAAATCATCGACTCGTACATACAACCTCGTACAAATGAGGTATTCCACCGATGCTTATTTAATTAAAGAATACAACAAGAAGGAGAAAATTTTGATCATTATTTGACAAGTTGCCGCCATCTAATATCTGCTTGTAATTATGAAAAGTTAGAAAATCAGTAATTACGGGACAAGATAG